CGGAATGCCCGCACCCCCCCCCAAAAAAACTGTTTTTATTTATTTCACTTCTTTCTTTGAAAACTAATCTGGTCTGAAATTAGAGAGAATTTCTAAGGTACAAACCATCTACCACCAGAGGTACACGGTTATGCTCCTCATTACCTTAAATATTTGAAAAGTGATATTCTTTCCAACCTTGTCATTTTACATGTATGCTCAATTCATTACTTTGTGGGTTTTCAATACCGGAAATAAAATTAGTAACAGTTTGGAATTGGTCAAATCAGTAAATTCAACTACCTATTTGCCCCAGGCTTGACCAAATCCAGAACAAGTTTTGCTTTTGAAGGGGAGTAACATTTGTTTTTTTGGGGGGGAGGCCTTTTTGGAAGAACAACAGATTTAAGAATCTTCATGGGCTCTTTCACGTGAGGGTAAATGTGGGAGATTTCGACACACTTCTGGTAGGAAGGGAAAAGAATAATCTCTCCCCAAATTATTCTGTCATTATGTACAAATTTGGGAGAGGGGTAGTCCCGTTAGCCTCGGCCGTCCCCCCATCTGCTAATGGCTCTTGGTTGAAGCTACATGCACTTATACAAATATCCTTCTTCCTCACCTCAACGAACGAACAACTGTTCTCATTTGAAAGTAGAATTTAGGTAATGTTTCATCAAACTGAATAATCAGGGAATGAAATGTCTGAACATCAACGACAGTTATTATCAAAGTTTGAAATACATGTATTTAATAAATGCATTTAGAAAAGTGTTTAAAAAAAAGCAAAGTCTTACCCAGGTCCTAGCATGTTGGTGCCCATATTTGTGGTCATGACAAACTTATACAGGTGGCCATATGCAAAGGCTCCTTCCATAAATGCACGGTGCTCTGTCCATGAAAAAATGACAGGAATTATTATAAGAACTGGAATGTATTAAGAATTATTTACATTGACTACCAATTCAAACCCAATTCTCTTTCTGCCATCGTGAACTTAACGCATGATGTGAGCATGTAATCCTGACTGGATAGCCAGTGTACCCTTGCTTACCCACGGCTCGTACTCCTGCCATTGGTGTGCTCAGGAGGGTATTCGTGTTAACATGGGTTAATCATTGCTCCAATGTGGCCCAGCTATCACACCGACTGTGACTTACCTGATGTGCCCACGGCAATCATCTTTGCAAACAGGATATCTTTGTGTCCTTTGTGGCGTTGCTGCATAGATGCTAGATCTGCCGGTTCCTGTATAAGGGGAACTTCTCGTAACAGCACCAGACTAGAAGAGGGAACGATAAACAAACAAACAAACAATCTAAGGTTTCCTTGTTACATAATATATATGACGTGGATCAGGCCTTGTAACCCCACAGACAACTTGGTAAATAACTCTAACAGTTCTGAGGCCTCTAAATTCAGTATAATTTTCATACAACTTTGGGGGTTTGTGCTAGATTCTAAGCACAATGCTGGGACCACATTCCTAAAATAAGCATTTCACTGTCTACAAACTACATTATAAACTTGTTTGATTATGTGGTAAATTGTAGTTACATGACATGAACAGGTATTCAATTAAACTGTGTCAGACCAAGACCCTAAGAGCTGTGTACACTTTGGCGCAGGCATGGGCCATCAGTTGATCATGCTAACATTATCCGCAGATCCTGGACAAAAGTTCTGACTTTGTGTTTGACTTCATCTTCCATAGGGCATAAAGTACATGCAGAAAGACAAGGGGATTGCCTGATAATGGCAGGACCAACAAACCTTCTACATTATCAAAAATGTAAGATTGCCTTGGACACTTTGCATCAGTATGAACAAACAAGCATTGTGCTTGGTTCCCAAGAGAGGTCAAGTGATTTTTATGAGTTGTACGAGTCTGCTAACAATGCTAGACGTATAAAGACCAAGCAGTTGGATTAACTGAAGGTTTTTGTAGTTTAACAAACTATCCAAGCCAAAACAAATTACTTTAAAGAGGTGATCAAAACTTCACGTTAAAAAAAATACACTTTTCGGATGGTCATATCCCAACTTTTATGAGTAGGTTCAATATTGGATCATTTCTTACTGTAGCATGTTTGAAATGATGGAATCAACACTGTACAACGAATCCATCGGCAGTTCAGTGAGAATGTGGCCATGTCTGTTGACAGAACAAAGAAATGTTCAAAATAACACTAAAACCTCTATTAAAAATTAATTAAACATCAAATTTTGGTACAGTGGTTGAACACAGGATGATCCGAGCAACAGCTCATTTGGTATGGCATTTCAGTGGCACACGGTGAATTGATGTCTAAACGGATATGTACAAAGATTGTTATACCAATAGACACATTTGAGGGGACGCCATTCCTGCAGGGCCATCGCACTCACACACGTCTTAACTTGAGTGCACCCATGCACTTTGGTAAGACATAACACCCCATAACTCAGAGAGGTATCACGTGCACACATGTACCACCTGCGTGCAAACAGGACAGCCCCATACAATGGCTCCTAATTCATTTCACCAGACTTGTCTAATATGATGCATAGGTTTCAGTGAAAGTATCAAGCATATGCCTGAATTTTGTCTTTACACTTTACCAAAATTTTCTGAAGGTTCATTACATGTACCTGAATACAAAAAGTGTACTCCTTGCATTGTCCCTGGAACAATAATCCTGCACAGGATCAGAATGACAATCAACCTGGACAAAACAAAGTACAGAATCATCCAAATATTGTCATAAAACTACAATTTTAAAATAGAATTTGATTTGTCTCTAAAGATAAAAAAATCATTTTGAAACCAAGCCTCCACTTTAGTCACGTTCAGCCAAACAACAGCATCAGTCCCAACTGTAGCTGGGATAATCACAGAGCTGCAGTTGGCATGGATGAGTTACTTGAACTGTGGTTCACAAGTTTCAATAAGATTTTTTCATAGCTCCCTCTGCCATTTTTTGCCACCAAAATCTGCAAAATTTATGAAAACATACTGTATACACTGGTTCGCCGTTTCCTTAACAGTGACACAATTCTAAGTGGATAAATTTCACTTGCAAGTGCTGTCAAGGACTACTGTGTTGCACCTGCCTCGCGCTGTACTCAGACTCACTAGCCTTGCCTGAAGGCAGCTGGCATTAATGTCTTCTCTTTTTACTAGAGCAGGGGGGCCCTATACATTTTCTGTTTCTGGGACACCTGACCTGGGTAATTTGACAAGCAATCAATATCATTGAAATCGATTTCAGACTGTTTCTTACTTGTTTGACGGGTAGTCTGCACCAATTCATCACTCTTGGAAATTAAAGAATGTGTTCTAAACTTACAAAATCATATGCCAGATGTAGTAAGGATGGGGAAAAAATTGACCCCAAATTAATTAAAGAATGAACCAGTACAGTTTCATGCTGTGACTATTGATGCCCGACTGGTAGATCATCCTTAAACACTAAATGACTACTGTGGTATAGACATTATTATGATGATGACTTAACATTATGATGCAGGTGTCAAAGTGATCAATTGACATTATGCACAAGACTGATTGATCACAGCAGTGTCTCATCTAGCCACCTGTCCAAATTCCCTAAGGACAGACAAAAACTAATGAGGACAGGCAAAAACTAATGAGGACAGGCAAAAAAATTGTGAGGACAGGCAAAAACTAATGAGGACAGGCAAAAAAGTTGTGAGGACAGGCAAAAACTAATGAGGACAGGCAAAAACATTGTGATGACAGGCAAAAACTAATGAGGACAGGCAAAAACATTGTGATGACAGGCAAAAACTAATGAGGACAGGCAAAAACATTGTGAGGACAGGCAGAAACTAATGAGGACAGGCAAAAACATTGTGAGGACAGGCAAAAACTAATGAGGACAGGTATTTTTTGTTAACAAAATTTACAAGCCCCACTCATTACTTGAAGACAAACCTTCCACAGTGGAAAATAATTCCTTACATTTCTTTCCAAAGCATCAGGTGCAATGAAAATACGGATTAAAATAGCAACAGCGCTATTTTTCAGATTTGGCTAGGAGTGGACGGGCAATTTTGAAAACTGCCTGGGAAAGAAGGAAAGGACAGACAATATGATTGTTTGTGGGGGTTGGGCCTGTTGTTTCAGATGTAGGGATTCTTGATTCTCTGCCAAGATGTGGCATGGTGTGTGGTCATTGTTGTTTTACTCTTCTTTTCTTTTTTCTAGTTGTGCATATTTTTATAGATCCTGTATTTAAACCGTTTTTGCAGCATGGTAACATTTGCAGAGCCACTCGATTGTGATTAAGTTCGCATTTGGTAGTCCATCAAGGCTGTTGCCATGGCAGTTGTTTATTGTTGTCTCATATGTTCTCTGTTTGTTTATGCCTTGAGAAATAAGAAATGAAATGAAATCTGTGGGGCTGTGGATCACAGTGGTGATGTTTTGGAACCATGGTAGTATTTAGGAAGTAAGAAATCAGACATTTTCAAGTTTGCAAATTTGCAAACATGATATTTAGTGTTTGCGGATGACATGACAATCTTGGCAGAAGCAGCATAGGACTGTACATCACGTAGTTACCTGAGGAGACTATTAACACCAGATGCCTTGGGACTGGGGCTCGTCTAACTGTATCATTCCAATTGGGATTCGGGCCATCTCAACTATAGTTAAGCCTGAAGCTACAGCTACATACATTGTATTTGTAACAGTAATTATGGAGAAAGGCATAGACTTCCTTCAACATGTCGGAATACAAAATTTAAGCCTTTTGTCCTTAGAGAGTTTTACTTACTGTGGCAAAGTTGACACTGAAGTCTGTCAGGTACCGCCCAGAATCCATAAAGTTTGTCAAGAACTCCTTTACTTGCCAATCTTTTTCTGAAAGAAAAAAAAATTGGCCTGTGATATAGATGACCATGGAAATGTTATCACTCGTAATTTGAAACGGCCTCCACCAGTGACGGTAAGGATTTAGGATTATGATAACTGCTGTACAAAGCCACTTTGCCAGAGGCTCTGCATGCCTATGGTGGCAGAGTACAAGGAGCAAATAGTGCATGACATATTTTACCGTGCACGTCTACTGTCGGGCATGATCAGTATATTTGAATGACCACTCTATCTTTACACTTCACTCAAACTAACTTGCACAATTAACTGATTATTCTGTTATCAGCCAAATTATTCATTTTCATTTTCGATTCAATTGCTTGATCTCATTGCACGATTTGTTGAAAAGTCTGCCATCAGCCAATAGCACTTTCTTTCTAATTCATGGCTGTATGAGAGTGTTTCAAACATGAGACAAATGTTGGAGATTTCATATAGCATCTGACCAAACACACAGATCGATCAGACATTGTGCACATTGGCTGATTGTATAATGTATGCCCTAGTGATCCAGAACTGCCTCCACATGGACAAGAACCTTGAAGGCAAATACAGCAAAACAATTTCCTCAACAATCAAATGCTCAAATGCCAAAATATTTTACTCTGTGATATTAAGATCAATTGTTTTCTTGGCAAGAAAACACAACATTGTGAAGAAAATGGAGAGACTTCCATATCTGGGCATCACTTTACCTGCTGTGCACAAACCTATGAGACTGGTCTGAAAAATTTGAAGCGTTTTCTGAGTAAATGCTTCAGTACATTGTATTTTCTCTGCTAAATTTGACTTAGGACATGTTATTGTTACACCCCAACTACATTGCATAGCTTAAGTCCCAACTACATGTATAGTTGGGACAGTCCCAACTGTAATGCTGCAGTTGGGCTGGCCCAATTTTGTTGACCAATGTCTGTGGGAAATGTCTCAACATTATCCAAGTCAATGTGTCTCACACTTGACACAATTCATCTAAAATGTGGCACTTCATCTCTTCATCTAGCCCTATGACCAATGACATGACATTTGTAAACAATATGACTTTGGCACATGCTGGGCACATCATGCACACAGGACCTCTCTGCTGTACTTGGGCCGGCCCAACTGAAGCACTGTAGTTGGGACGGGCCCAACTGTAGTTGATGCTATAGTTGGGGTGTAACATTATCACTTCCTGATGACTAATAGATCACTGTAGGCCTATACATGTAATAAAGGAAAATTAGTGATGTCCATATACAACTCTTACCAAGAAACTGTAGCGTTGATCAAATTCCAGAAGAAATAGAAATGTTGCATTTTTGAACTTCTCTTCATTGATTAGTTACCAATTACAAAACAACCAGAAGTTTGCAATTCCATAATGTTCAACATGTTCAAGCGATTTCAAGAACTGTTATTCAGACATTGAACATGTCTAAAACTGTTACCACAAATCTTTAAAAAGGACTTGGTTACAATCTTACCAACTTTACCATGTTTACAAGTAGGCTACATGTAACAAGACGGATTTCCTAACCCCCTGCCCCATCATGGCCTGGGCCCAGGGCCTACTTAAATACAGTACCATAACTTGGTGTCCTAGACCTAGTGTTTAAATCTAACCTATAACCATGATAAAACAGTGCACTGAAGTCGATTGAGCTAGGCCTACATCATGTGTAAATATGTGGGCCTACCGCCTACATAAACTTGTTCTGTTTTTTTTTCCAATAGAGTCTAGGCCTGTGCTATATAAGCTTAGTTAATCGGGCCTTGTTACTGCATTTTGATGTAGGATTACTTCGAGAACTCAAAGTCACTAAGAACGTACATGTATGATGCAGGCCCACGAACCGGTACTATTTAGGCAGACATACAGTACATGTGTGAACAACACTCACTCAGTTTTTCAGGAGACTTTGAAACAAAATAAACCGCACAGGGCACAACAGCGTTCTTAAATGATTCAAAATCCTTGGAAGATAACGCATTGTAGTAATCCTGTGCCCATGCTGAAGCAACAGCTAGCCACATGGTGCAGAAAAATAGGAAAATCTGTTCCATCTTGACTAACCCCCGTACCGCGTTGTCCCTTTCTGTCAAATTAGCTCTCTGTGCCAGCTTTAACGTGCGTACCGTACGTACGTACGCGTGCTGCATGCACCAGTAACATAACACAGCGCCACCAAGTGTTAACACATACGTGACGGCTGTTTGATTAGCAATAGTTTTTCAATAATCCCAAAATTACTCCAAAATGTGAAAAAAATCAACGAATTCACAGTATGTAATAACTTTGAAGTTCCTTTTTATCTATTTTCACCAGAAGATGGACTAAATGGTGCTTCTTTTTCATTTTCAAATTAAGTTCAATCGCAATGAAATAATTCAGCCGTCGGATATGCATACACGTACACGCGGAAATGCTGTGTTGTGCGCAAATTGGGTACTTGCGCAATTTGTAAACTGGAAGATTGCACGCGCAAATTCAGGGCCTCCGGGCAGGCCTAATATTTCATTGAATGATAAGTTAACTTATTCATTGAATTTTATGAAGGGACAAAAGTCGGACGTCCGATGTCGAAGCGTACGCCAACTTAGACAAGTTATTTGTGCGTCGGTTCTCAGCTCAATTCTGGATATTGATCCTAACGTTGTTGTTGTTTTGTTTTAATGGCGCTTTCAGCATCTCAGGCTATTTGTGCCAAAAACGTTTATTCATACACTTTATTAATCAG